ATATATATATGTATCATTTCTCATAGTGTACTTTGCTGATTGTGCATAATTCATTTATTCAGGTATTAGACATTCTTATTGTTTCTAACTGGTTTTCTATTACAAACAACTCTAAAATAAGCATCACATTGGTGGTATGCTTGCATAACACTGAGTCGTGATATATTCCCTAAAGCTAATGGCTCCAAACTTATGTGTCTTTAAAATGAAACATTGATAGATATTTTTGAATTATCCTTAAAATGTTTTTCTGTAGTTTAGGTACTTACCCAGCATCACCGAGGAGCATAGGAATATATATGTGTACACACAAACACATATACACACCTATACACAATCACCTCACTCCTAAAATGAGCAAAAAATCAGCAAGTGGATGTTTCACTGTGCCCAACTGTGAAAAACATTAAAGAAACAAAAGAATCCAAAACCCAAGTAGAGTTTCTCACCTCTGTCTAAAAGTCCCAGAGAATTAAACAGCAAGGGGAAAAAAAAATGAAACAAAAGCAAGCAACACCCAACGCTCTGCTAAGAAATGATGCATAGGAGGACCAGGGTCATTGCAAACAGGATCAGGAGAAATCCAGCCAAGCTACAGCTGAGCAAATCAAGAGGAAAACCTTGCAGAAAGCACCTGCATGACACTGATAACGTAATGGGGTGGGCGAGGGACTTGACATGCGATCCCAAGGTAGACTATCAGAAACACAACGGTATATTGCAGGACAAACTGACATATTACACAACAGACATATCTTACCAAACACTGGAAAATAAGAAACAGAAGATCAAGAATGAGACCGTGAACAAAAGGCATTAAAAGGGGGAAACTGAAGGCAAATCAGTTGTTTTAAACAGTGGTAAACCCATGCCTGAAAATGTTACACAGTAGACAGTAGTTACACCATCTAAAATTTTACAAACTGATTCAAAGAAAAAACATAGCCCAGGAGACTTCATCAATAAATTCCCTCAAACATTCAAAATCAGGTAACTTTGGTGGTATTGAACTGCTTGTAGATCATAGCAGCTATGAGAAAAAACCCAAATAATACATCAACTTGAATCCAGAGAATACTAAAATACTAAATTAGAACCACATATTATCCTAAATACATATTACTTACATAAATGGAAAGATGAAAAAAAATTTCCTCTTCAAATATATATCAAAAGACTATTGATAAAAATTGAGTATTGGTTCCTGACTATAAATTTTAACCTCCTTATGAAACTGAATACTATTACATATTTCCTTGCCATGACTCTCTTTGTCTTTACCTACCTACCTAAAAGTTTTGTCTCTTGCCTTTTACCTTAGAATAGAATAGTAAAGGCCAGAACTAAAATTCATACTTATTACTGCCACTATTTTTATATTTTATTATAAGCTAATGAAGTCACTTGAGAAATACAAGGATTATAGAAAGGAAGGAGAAATATATAAATTAAGCAATAACTCAAGCAAAATCTAAGAAAACTGACTGCGGAAAACTTTCAGAAGCAATATAAGAAGCTAGGTAAATTCCCATGGCTTTCTTATGTACAGAGCATAGGAATGAAAGTAGAAGGCAGGAAAGAAAGCCATTTCAACTGTAAGATTTTAATGAAAGAACATTTTTAAAAATTCTTTTACAACTTGTTTTCTTAACAAAACAGTATTTTAAAAGGACATAGTCTGTGTGTTTAGGATAATATCACTGAGTTTTAAATTTACTTTTATTTCTTTGGTGGTTTTAGAAATTTGATACAGTAATTATGAAGTTTTATGAAAGTATGAACGAATCAGAAAAATGAAAACTAATGAGATAAGAATATCAGTAGTAGAAGTTTAGTCAGTGTAAGACAGTAAAAGACTTAGGTGAAACCAAGTGAATATTTATCACTTTTTAAAAATATGGACAGCATTAGCCAGGCGTGGTGTTGCACATCTATAATCCCAGCACTTGGGAGGCTGAGGCAGGAGGATCCCTGTGAGTTTGAGACCAGCCTGGACTACATAGTCAGTTCCAGGTCAGTCTCACTACATAGTGAGACCCTGTCTCAAAAAACAAAACAATATATATGTGTGTGTGTGTGTGTGTGTGTGTGTGTGTGTGTGTGTGTGTGTGTGTGTGGACAGCAGACTGCGATAGTAGGGGGCACTTCCTTTTTTTACTATGTTAGTGCAGTGCTTGAACTTATATAGGCATATATAGCCTGATTTTTTTTTCAGTTGTGGGCTTATTATTATATATTCTCTCCTCGTCACACACACACACACACACTACCATACCCACTAAAAAGGTAGAAGCCACTCACAGA